ACAGGAGCACCTGGGGAAGCTGGAGGCCGAGGGGGAAGCTGGAGGCATTGCATTGGAAACCTGAAGGGAAGTTGAAGAAAATAAATGCTCTTTGTATACCTCCTCCTGGAGGTGGACAGTGATTCTTAACTGCCTCTAACTTAGTTTTTTTGTGTTTGAAAACCAGTAACCCTTCATTATTTGTAACCTTCATTAATTTTGTAACCCTTCAATAATTTTGTTACCCTTCAATAATTTGGAATTATTTCTGTCTGGGAAGGGGGGAAAATTCATGTAAAACTCTTCTTATACGTAACGGTCATCATTAGGTAGGAAACAAACTTTAAAGAAAAAACACACAGATGATCTTTGGTTTTAAGTGTCAGCATTAACCGTTTGTGGTTTTGTTTGTTCGTTTTAGATGTAACCAATGTCTTGGCAAAGCAGCATTCACTCAACAAAACACCGATCTCTGTCTATCCTTACTACGTCTCTCTGGGAATAGCTCTGTATGGAAAGGAAGGGCCACAATTAAAGCAGCCAGATCCAATCACAGTGCCTCTGGATAAGTATATCTGGTATTACTTGCAGAAAAATAATAGGCTAATTGAGGCAATAAATTGTGAAATGGCCAAGGTTAATTGTGTGCTAACGTGGCCTGAACCCAGCTGTGCAGACCCCAAAGTTACTTTACATCCTTCAGCTACTTTGTCTGAGCAGAAGAGATTAATATCTAGACTGATCAAGACATGGAATGAAAACGTTTCCACAACATTTTCACAAAACATATCAAAGTACAAAGCAGTTAAAAGTCAAGTAAAAGCAGAGGTGTGGGAAGCCATTGCAAACAGCTTTACTCACGATGAAGTTTTGATATTGCCATATATTTCCCGACATATACTTGTTCTAGTAGGTGAAAAAGAAGTTGTGGATAAGGTTGAACAAAATCTGAAAGCTCTGGTAGAAGAGGCCACCAGAGAAATTGAAAGAGAAAAGCAAAGAACTGAAGAAATGGTCGTAGCGGATCTAGGGGAATATGCAATTTTACAGAGTAGTGGTCTTGAAGAAAAAGTGCGTATGGAGTTCCCAGCACTGCAGATAACTTATGATAGTTTGCAGAAGATAATTAACCTATGTGGAGTGCGTGAGGAAGTTTATAAAGTAAAAGGGGAAATACTAGATAATATACGCAAAATGGCAAAGAAAACAATTAACATCCACCCTTATATCTTCGAGTTTTTAGAGCATATTGATAATGAAACCCTGTCACAGAGCCTCTTTATGTCAAAACAAATTAATGCCTTTTATGAGCTTGGCAAAGAAGATATCATCTTGCAAGGGAGCAATCCTGAAGATCTCCTGAGAGCAGAACAAGAAATAAAGAAGGAGCTGGACCACAAAAGCATTACTCTGGAGGATAAGTCAGTTCTCCAGAAGAAGGAATGGAGGATTCTCACCAAGCAGAACTGCTCTAATGAAGCCATAATAGTCACTCAGGTAGAAAGTGAGGTCATCATTGCTGGTTGTTCTCAAGCAGTAGCAAGAGCTTATGAAGAACTTTTTAACTTTATAGATGAAAACACGCAAATACAAAAGGTGATTGGAGGAAAGCCTGCAGTGGTCATAATCTTTTTTGAAAAAGAGAAGGCCAATGTTTGGGGTGACTTAGAAAATAAAGGTGTGAAAGTTGACTTCAGCACACGGGAGAAACGTAGAGTTATATCCTTGAGTGGGGCGAGAAGAGAAGTGCTGAAGGGAGTCACCTTAGTTGAGGAAATTCTGTCTGGCCTGCATTATAGGCGTCTGGTAATCAGAGAGCCAGGAGCCGAGGCGTATTTCAAAGAGCGAGAACACTTTTTTGCCGCCAGTGCAAAACAAGACTTTAAGTGTCTAATCAGACTGGAAGCGCAGTCAGAAGAACAGCAAGAACTCAGCAATACAGGGAAGCCCTACAGGCAGGTTACCGTAGGTGGAATTGTAATAGCAATTTATAAAACTGACTTGTGCACTCATCCCGTTGATGTTGTGGTCAATGCATCTAATGAAGACTTGAAACACATCGGTGGCCTTGCTGGAGCACTTTCCAAAGCAGCTGGTCCAGAGCTGCAACAGGAGTGTGACAAGCTGGTGAGTAAGAACAGGGTTTTGCAGCCTGGGCGCGCAGTCATCACAGGCGCTGGGAACCTTCCCTGCAAGAACGTCATCCATGCTGTTGGGCCCAGGTGGAAGAAGGATGAAGCAGAGAAATGCGTGGTCTTGTTAAGACAGACAGTGGAGGAAAGTCTACGACTAGCCAAAAAATACAATCACCGTTCTGTAGCTCTGCCTGCTATAAGTGGAGGGATTTTTGGCTTCCCACTGGAACTGTGTACGTATTCGATTGTGTCCTCCATCAAGGAGACGCTGGAAAGATCCATGGAGGACAGCAGCTTGAAGGAGGTTCATCTTGTGGATATTGCACAGGATCATGTTCAGGCTTTCAGCAAGGCACTGAAAGAATTGTTTCCAGATTCTTCACCTTCCTCCTCAGCGCTGCATCAGACCAGTACAGTTCAGCCTAGGAAAACAAAATCTGAGAACAGCCAGAACTTCCCAGTGGTAACAACTAAGGAAGGCTTGGACATCATGCTGGAAACAGGAAGCATTGAAGATGCTACAGTAAGTGTTTCTAACTGTCTCCTTGTTTTAAAATATCAAATTTTTTTTGCTTGTGGTTTGTTGTGTTGGGGTTTTTTGGTTTTGGGGTTTTTTTTTAAGCAAACATAGAACCAAAAACATGACCAACCTTAGAACATCATCTGTAACCAACAATGTAACACGTTTGATATGTTACTGAAATTGCTTGTCACTGCTGATAATAAGAATTGTTACAGATGGCTGTGCAGCGCTGCATTTTGTCATCTGCTGGCACAGAGGCACACAGATCCCTGTGGCACACGGTGCGTTATGGTTTAGCAGAAGCAACTGGGGTCAGCAGGGATGGTTCTGGGCTCCAGAACCCCTGACCCAGCCTTACTGGGCAGGAACCACCTGCATGCAGCATCCGCCTTCCCCAGAATCCTGATTACAAGAACGTGGTGCTTGAGCAAAAGCAAGAGAGGGTGCATGGTGTTCGTTGACGCGTACCCCACCCTGGAAGAGGGGCTGGGCTGTGCGCAGATCCGCTGTGGCCCTGTGGCAGCAGACATGCACGCCTGGGCCTGCAGCCGGTCCGGTTCTCCCTGCATCTGCAGAGTGTTGACCTGAGGATCTGTTGCCCCTCCTGTCATTGGTGAGCGCTGACACAAAATGTGCAGTTGCTGTTGCAGGTCCTGTGGAGAAGCAGCTTCACTGGCTGATTTCCAGTTGCCTCGGGCATTGAATTGCTGTTAGCTGGCTGAAAGCTGCTTTTCGGGGATCACCAGTACTGGCAGCAACTCCTTTCAGAACTCTTTCCACAGTGGCCAGCGAATCCTTTCAGGAATGGATACCTGCTACAACTTACACATGCAGTGACTCCAGTTGGCAGAGGCAGAATATATGTTAAAATGAGTATAGAGATGCTTCCTGAGGAGCTGGATATAGTGCTTGACACATGTTTGAAGCTTCCATGGTTTCACTCTTCCCCCTTCTCAGTGGGATGGGGAGGAAAACTGGAAGGGAAAAGAAAGTAAATCTCACGAATCCAGAGAAGAACAGTTTAATAGCTAAGATAAATTATAATAATAACAATAAAATATTATGATGATGATAATTTTAATGAAAAGTATTATAACAAAAAGATAGAGAAATAAAACCCAAGAGCAGACAAGTGATGCACAATGCAATTGCTCACCACCCACTGACTGATGCCTGAGCAGCGACCCACTGCCCCTGCCAGCTCCCCCCAGTTCCTGTACTGAGCACAGCGTTCCAGGGTACGGAATATCCCTTTGGCTGGGCCAAGTCAGTGTCCTGGCAGTACTCCCTCCCAGCTTCTTGTGCACCTGCACACTAGCAAAACATGGGAAAATGAGAAGTCCTTGATTGCTTATCAGTAACTAAAAGCATCAGTATATTATCAACATTTTTCTCATACCAATTCCCATACTGAATCTAAACTATGGCACTATTCTAGCTCTTAGAAGGAAAATCAGCTCTATCTCAGCCAAACCCAGGACAATAGCCCTTTGTATTTGTCTCACTTTTAAGTTACTGCTTTTCTCACTTGTTTCTCCTCAGCTTTTCTCCAGTCTTGTTTGTCTTCAGCTTTTCCTTTTTCTCTAGACCAGCTGTGGGAGGTCCTGCTTACCTTAGTGAACACAGATTGTTTTTCTGCAAAGTTCTGTTGGAGAAGAAACGTGCATGAATGTTTTCTAAATGGAGGTAGAATGTGTTGACCAGGAATGCAGAGTTTTAACTATCTCCCATGGAGTTGAAATTAATTTCCCTGTTAACTGGGCTTTTGCGTTGCTTCAGTCAGGCCCATGGTATTAGAATTGAGCATAACTTCTGGTTTATTCCAAAACTTCATTTACTCTCAGATTGCTGTCCCAGAAATTTCCTTTGTAAATCAGCAGACGGGCTGCATTTGATTAATCAGTGCAAGACTTAAATTTGATACTTAAAAGCTAGGAGTTTTTGCCTGTGTGTTTTGCAGACGGACATCGTTGTCATCAGTGTTTCTAAAGATCTCCAGCTTGAAAACGGGCCGCTCGCTAAAGCTTTGCTAAGCAAGGCAGGGCCAATGCTTCAGACGGGCTTAAAAGAAGTAGGCCAAGGAAGAACACCTGAGGACGGAACTGTGTTGAAAACAAAAGGTTACAATCTCGGTTGCAGTTTTGTGCTTCATGCCATCGTACCTACGTGGTCCAAGAGACAGACGTCTCAAAAGGTACAAGGGTTTTATTTGCCTGAACTCAATTTGACTGAGGTTTATTGTGCGTTTTATGCCACTTTCCCTTCAAAATGGGGAGCAGTGTTATAGCAGATGACTTTGGCCTGTTTTCTTTAACTGTGAGGCCAATCCCTCATCGACTAACATGCTCCCTGTGATCCATACAATTGTATTTTCATACCAAAAGATAGCTAAAAGGGAAAATGCTACGTTGCACATAATGGGGGAAAAATATTACTTCCAGTATTTGAAAAAAATAATTGTGCTTTACAGGTCTTGGGCAACGTCATCACAAAATGCCTGGAGATTGCTGAGGAACTGTCTTTAAAGTCAATTACCTTCCCAGCAATTGGAACAGGAAATTTAGGATTCCCAAGGTCTGTTGTTGCTAAATTGCTGTTTGACAAGGTGTTTGAATTCAGTAGTAAGAATGGCGTAAAATCTCTTGGGGAAGTTCACATTCTGTTGCATCCAAAAGACACAACTAATATTCAGGTAAGTTACCGTGTTTTTCTGTCTCTGCGATGTGCTGGTTTATTTGTGTTTATCTCGTGATACTTGGCCATCTGAAGATCACCAAAAATCCACAGCGTGCTTCTTCTTGTGCTAAAGAAAAAAGTTTACTGACAGTCTCTCTTGTCTATAAAGAAAGTTCTCTTTTTGAACCCCTCGTGACCACCTGCCCGTCCCTGCTCCCTTCCTGTCCTTTTCTGTTCCCTGGCAATGAACTTGGCTAACTCTTCAGTGCATAGGACTTGCCTACAGATAAATTTGCTGCAACTCCTGCATAGATGCCTTCCATCTTGGAAAAATGAGTCCTTTCAATGAAGTACTAGTGTCTTAGGAAGAAGAATCACGCTAGGATTGCTGTGCTGGTAAACTTCTCCAGTGGAAGTGTATCAGTGTGCCACATCCCCCTTTCTTCAGTATTGCTTTAGCATGAATTTTCTATATCCGTGCTCAAGTTACACATTTCACACACGAATCTTTCAAAAGGGAGCAGTCACACTGTGAATTAATGCCCAAGGAAGTGTTTCTGCTTCTGTTGACTTCTGCTGTTTTGATAGGTTTTGAAAGGCCGAGCTTGAAGGCTGCTGTGCTCAAGCCTGAGCTGTTGTGCATAGCGATATGTTGGTTATTAGCTCCAAGACTCGAGCTAGAGTGTAAAGTAGCCCCTCAGTGTAAGGATGCCATCTGTGAATGTGTCCATTGGGAGTGGTAACTAGGGCTTTGGCTTGCTTATTTATCAATTCTCTCTGCTGATCACACTGAATAACCTCTCTGAGAACAACGTGTCAAGTCTTGCCAGCAGCATTCTGGCAGATAGTATGAAGAAATTTACATTAAGCTCTTTCTAAATGTTTTTTTTTAACTTTACTTTTCAAACCTTTATTTCTACTGTGTAATCTATAGGCTTCTGCAGGGGTTGATTTGTAATTTCCTTCTCTAGGAATTTTCCGATGAACTTGAGAACGTGTGTGGAAATACTGTAGATGCTGAAGGGCAGAAGACTTCTACAATTAAGGCTAGCCAAGGCACAGGTAAGCTTGTTTCACAGAAGTTGTGTGCCTAGGTGATTCTTTTAGCCTTGTAAATATTCCAGGGAATGTGTGTTTTCTGCCATCACAGCGTGAATTAGCGATGATGGGAGTAGGTGAAGGCTGATCAGAGGCTCCTGTGAGACAGAATGATCTTCAGTTAATGTTGCAGGCAGTCCTCTTCACAGGCTGAGTCTGGAGCCAAACCGTGGTCTCTGCAGGCATTGTAGCCATGAACAAGTCCCTTATCTTCTTCTTCATTGCTCCCTTCTGCTCAGAGTCTGTGTTTCTTTCCTGCAGCTTCCCCTCGTATCTCTTCAGCCTCAGAACAGAATGTCTATGAAATGACGATTGGCTCCATTGTGTTCCGTGTGGCAGAAGGCGATATTACCAAGGAACGGGCAGATGTCATTGTAAACGTAACAAACCAAAGTTTTAACCTCAAAAGAGGTATTTTATTTGGTTTTATCTGTGAAAACAGTATGTGTAGTTGGAAAGGCTGGATAAGGAGAGTAGGAAGTATTTTTTTTCTTTCAAACCCTTTTGTTTCATAGTGTGCTTTATGTTTCGCTTCTTTGGGTACAAAGGTTCAATTAGGAAGTGTCTGAAACTTCCTTTTTCTTGTTAATCTATGTTGCAGGATGGCATGTGTAAGATTTGCAGAAAAGAAAATGACTTTATTTTTTTTAGAATTTTTTGATAGAACATCTCTCAGACTAAGGGAGAAAACAAACCTCAGTGAAGTTTTGACCTCAGTGAAATTCGTTAGGTACTTTAGGCATCACTTTGAATTGTAAAGCGTAAGCCTAAAATTTAGGCAATGGTGCTTTTCAATTATAACCTTTACTGTTATCAGGACTGAGATATTTTAGATACTATGCAATACATAGTTCTGCCTCAGGTGGGACTTGAATAGCATTAATAGTTGTAACGGTGGATTCATATGCCTCTTCTCATTTAAGGTGTCTCTAAAGCAATTCTGGATGGTGCTGGAAAAGCTGTTGAAGATGAATGTGCTCAACTAGGTATGGCCCAGCACTTCTGACCTCACTCCCGAAGGTGTTCCTATGTGGCAGGGAGTCTGTTGCACCGTCGTGGTGCACAGTGCAACTGCTCGCCGTCCCCTGGCCGATGCCTGGCCAGTCCCTGAGCAGTGATCTGTGCCCCCTCCCAAACCAATCCCCCCTAATTTATATACTGAGAATGATCTCCTAAGGTATGGAATGTGGTTTGGCTACTGCAAGTCAGCTGTCCTGGCCATGCTCCCTCCCAGCTTCTTGTGCACCTGCTCACTGGCAGAGCATGGGAAACTGAGAAATCCTTAACTTAGGATAAGCACTGCTTAGCAACAACTAAAACACCAGTGTGTTCTCAACATTATTCTCACACTAAATCCAAACCAGGGCACTGCAGCAGCTGCTAGGAAAAGAATTAACTCTATCCCAGCTGAAACCAGGATATATTCTAATTCAGCTTTCCATGACAAAACCACATTCAGTCTACTTTAAACAGAGCCATGAGCAAGGGATGATGCTGGCAGAAGTGTTGCCAGAGAAGCCAGATCTCACTGGACGCAACTGTCTACTTGCCACTCCTTTTGTCTTTCCTGAGTGGGGAAGTGTTTGCTGTTGCCTTGATGAGCAGCCCACTGTCACATCCTGTGTGACCAAGAGGGAAAACGAGTGAGCTTGGGTTCCTGCCTGAGAAGAGGCATTTATCTGTAGGTCAAATTCAGCTAGTGAACAGCAAATATAACACGTGGGGAGTAAGGGTGGTTTAAAACCCCACAAAATAAATGAAGTGGGAATGATGCTGGTGTGGAGGTCAGCTTGGAAGACCAACCAGAGGAAGAGATCAGTGGAGGAGGTAAGAGGTAAACATCTGTTGTTGAGGCCAGGCAGCCTGAGGGTGGATTGCATGCTTGTGTGTGTGCTAAGACAGAGCGTATTACTAGTCTGCATGAACTTCTCCAAGTCTGCAGGGCAAACTTGACAAATAAAGGCACAAACAGAATTTCCTTGATAAAAGAGGCAAATATTTAAGAAACATTAAATGGATCCTCGTGCTTTGAAAGTGAAAACAGAGAGAGGGGATTGCACAGTTTGTAGAAAGAGATTAGAAGCTTGTCCTGGGGCATATTTGTCATCATTTTTAATCTCTTAATGTGGATTAGTACATAGCTATATTGTGGATAATTGCCGATTGCTTAGCTTCTCCTACTTATGTTTCAGGCTCACAATCGAACAAGAACTATATCACCACCCAAGCAGGAAGCCTGCCATGCAAAAAAATAATTCATTTTGTTGCCCAAGAGGATATCAAGGCACTAGTCTCCAAAGTGCTTGAGGAGTGTGAATCACAGCAGTACACCTCTGTCACCTTCCCAGCAATTGGAACAGGTCTGCGTCTCCTTTTTGGAAATGGGTTCAGGGCCTGTGATTCTGCCAAACTTGGAGTTCAAGCAATGAGTTTGATTTATCAGGAGCGATTATTCTTTGGTGAAAACATATTCAGAAACCACAGACTTTCATAAGCTTCTAAGAACAGTTTTAAGACTCAGAAAGCTTCACTCCTTGCAGTTAGTGAGTGTGTAAAGAGTACGAGCGCTCTAGAGCCGGCACTTCCTTGTTAACAGTGATTCAAAGGTGTGTCTACGTTTCCTGGAGAACCATAAATATTTGTCACAGCAGCCTGATAGGTGTGGGCAGCTCATCAGAGAAAGTCCAGGGAGCTACTTCTCCATTGCTGAAATCAGTAGCTGATCATGGAATCACAGAATCTCTTTGGTTGGAAGAGACTTTTATGATGGTCAAGACCGACCCTTAACCCAGCCCTACCAGGCCTCCACTAAACCACGTCCTTAAGCACCAGATGCAACTCTGGCAAGCAGCCCCGCTGGTAGGGTTGATACAGATGGAATCTGAACTTTCAAAAAGGCCAGATTGTCCCTTTTTCTTCTTTTGTTATTTTCAGTCAGTTCAGGAGAAACCCCTAGAGTTGGAGAATAATGGAACTGGGCTCCGTGCATACAGGGCCCTCTTGCATGAGTAAAACTAGATGTGCTTTTTGAGCAAATCATCTGGCCTGTGGCCTATTAGGTAACCAAGCCACATCATCTATGTCATACCCTGATCAGTTGCTGTGTCCACAAAAGTGAAGTTTTCTTTTTCCCTTGCTGGAAAGATGGTTTCAAACCTCCTTTTCCTGATAAATAGAAACTGTTCTGAATTGCCAGCCTGAAGTTATTTCTGACCCGTTTATGATCCAAGTGATTCCAAGTATGTCCATAACTGTTCTTTTAAAGATGTTTGAACTATTTCTAACAGTTACTGACACTTTTTAAAAGCAAAATGTTTATAACTTTTCAGGTGAGGCCGGTCGTGATCCGGCTATGGTAGCTGACAGCATGACAGATGCCATAACTGACTTTGCAAGAGCAAATTCTGCTCCGTCGGTGAAAATGATTAAAGTTATCATCTTTCAGCCACATCTGATGAGTGTGTTCCATAGAAGCATGCAAAAAGGAGAAAGCCTTGCTAAAACATCAGCCAAATCCTTGTTTTCCAAGTTAAAGTGTGAGTAGATGTCAGTTAAATGGAGATTGTAGGTCAATCTGATTAGCACCACCTGATAACAGTTAATATTAATTACAACATTTGTGTATTTCTATGTAGCATTCTGGCGCCCTGAGAAACCTTCCCCAAAGGTAAAAACCAAAACAGTTTTGAAGAAGAAAGTTGATGTGGCCGTTGTGCAGATTTGCGGTGAAAACAAAAAGAAAGTGGAAGAAGCTGAGAGCTGGTTGAAAGCTGCAATTTTACAGGAACAGTTTCAAAGAGAAATCACAGATGACTCTATCTTACATTTTGGTGAAGCAGAGAATGAGGAACTGTACATGCTACAAGAGAAATTTAAAATTGCTCTTCAGTTGGATAATAACTCTATTCGAATTTCAGGTATTGAGAAAGATGTCTGGATTGCTTATGCAGCTGTTAAAGAAATGATTCACAGGGTAGAAGCTGCTAAACAGGAAGAGAGCAAGGCAGAATTTTTACAAAACTTCATTGAGTGGAAATATTTTGAGAATTCGTATGTGCCCTTCGACAGTCTCACAAATATGCACCTGGAAGATGCTTACCTGGCCAAGCAGAAAGATATTTCAGTCACCATCAACAAGAGAACATACACAGTGAATCTAGAAGATAAATATGCTGTGGATGACCAGGGAAAGCGTCTACCCATTATACGGGTTGATAAATCTCAAGGTAAGTAAAAGCATCTTGACAGACTGATGTTCCCACATTAAAACCAGGTTGCATCCAGCCTAGTAAGACATGGTAAGGATCTGCAAAATGTTGTCAGGAGCTTTGTGCAGGTCTGTTTCTAGGGAATGTAGAAAGGAACTGGATTTGGAAGCAAAAATGAAAGAATTCTGCAGTTATTTAAAATCTTAGGAAATGTCGGTAGTGCATTCTGAGGTAAGGCTAACAGCTTACTTGCAGTAATTGGATGTTTGTAGCAGTTGCCATTCTAGATCTCGGCTCGTTTCTGTCCTTGAGACGTACCCTCTGCCATTTACATCCAGTCCTTTACAATATAAGGAGCTACCTTTTTCTTACTCATCCATGCAGGAGTTTTTCTCATGAAGAACTTGATTTTCAGGGAAGTCTTCTGGTAAAAGATGTTGCAAAGGATCCCTCTCCACCTGCGAAGAACAGATTTGTCTAGGAACTACCAATTTGGGCAGGTCAATTGCCAGTGCAGCAGCAAAATAGAAACTTCAGTGCCCCAATCCTCTGGTAAAAGGTCCATGGAATTACTCTTGGCTGATGAAGTGCAGGAGGCACTAGTGATAAGCTAGATGTATGGGCTCCTAGAAGGGTTTGTTGCAGGGCATCTTTAATTTTAAGCAGAGGATTCAAGTAAATAGAATTATGTTTTTTCTGCAGATCAAGAGCCAACAGCGCTCCCTTCAGCATGGGACGATATGCAAAACCAGCAAGTCAGAGTAGTGGAACTGAAAGCAGAAGCAACAGAATACAGAGATGTGCAGGATAAGTTTCTGAAGACCTGTCCATTTTTCAAAATTGAGAAGGTAAGAGCATGTCATCATTTCTGAGCATACTTTGCTAGCAAGTGATGAAGAATACCAATAACAATGGAAAAATAAGTTTCACTGGGATTTCTGAAGATGGACGAGTCTTTACTGGCTGTCACTAATCAGCATCAGTTTAACGTTGAAGTATTTGGAACAACTCTTAAGCAGTCACTTCCTCAGCGCCAAAGGAGAGTGCTCTTTCTATAAATTCTTTTTGCTGTAGTAGGGCATAACATTTGCTTGCTTAAGCCACGTGTGCTTTGCAGATAGGCACGTCATCCGTGCCCCAGAAACCTGCGAAACAGTCCTATGTCATCTCCCATGGCATGTTTCCGTCACGTTTTGGGCTGAGTTCTGGTGTGGGTCATGCCAGAGTTCGGAGCGATTTGACTAACTAACTTCACAGGCTGGTACACGTGCATTTGAGCTAGGAGGAGATCTTGGAAGTGGATTGAATTGTTGATGCACTGATGCCTTTCATGACAGCAACCTACTTTCTTTCTGTCTTACTTTCAAATTTTGTAGATTGAAAGGATACAGAACCCGTATTTATGGAAGGCCTACCAAATAAAAAAGTCTGAAATGGATAACAAAAATGTCAACGTAAATAACGAGAGGCTTCTGTTTCATGGGACAAGTCAGGAGTCGTTAACTTTAATTAACACCCATGGATTTAACCGGAGCTATGCTGGAGCACACGGTAATGTGAATTGTAAAACAACTCTTGTTTTCCTGAATGGGGGTAAAACTGATTTGCCATGCCATCTGCATAGTCCTGCCTTGTATGCAAAATGATTCGTTTTGTTGTATCTCCCTGTTGCAAATAAAAAGCAACACTGCTGAGGGATTCATAGGCTCTGAAGATGGCAGAAAAGAGATTGCTGCTAATGAAACACCAACATTTGTTTTTCCGAGTACAGCTGCAAACTATGGAAATGGAACGTACTTTGCTGTTGATGCCAGCTATTCTGCCCATGACACCTACTCTAGACCAGATGCGAATGGGAAGAAGTACATGTACCTGGCTCGAGTCCTGGTTGGAGAATGTTCTCAGGGAAAAAGAGGATTAATTACTCCAGGAATAAAATACGGTGGTAACTCTGTCGAGCTGTATGATAGTTGTGCTGATAATGTGAAGAACCCAAGCATGTTTGTCATCTTTAATGACATTCAAGCTTACCCGGAATACCTTATCACCTTCATTAAATAAGCATCTTGATTGCAGCCAAGATTTTGTGTCTTTCAGGCTTTGCGTAGGACAGAAAACTTGTAAAAAAATACACTTTGAAAAGTATAAATGTCAAATTAATTTCTTGAAGCTTGTTTACATTTAAGCAACCTCTGGCAAGTTTTGACAGCACTGAGACAGACTGCTTGTTTACACTCACAGTGTCTGAGCTTGTTTAACACTTGAGCTTAACCTTCTACTGAAAACCCCTGTTAAGTTACATATTATGCCTTTACACTGTGTTTGCCTTTCCATGCGGTCTTGTGGCCATCCTAGTTCCATGAGGAAGCGGGGAATGGAAGGAGACTTCTTTCGGCCACTGACTGCTCGATGTTGCACTTCTGATAGTTTCTTATACTCTGTAAATGACAGTCTGCATCATGATTTGTGGTTTTCAATAAATGAACTAATTGTAGTTAATGGCTTGTACCTCTCTGAACATTTAGCATTGGTTTTTGACCGGTAAACTTGACATCTCAAATACAGATTTCCTTAATACAATAACCCTCCCTGGCAGGTTAATAAGAGGTTCTAGAGAAGGCCATCGAGTTGCCTAAGAGAGATGGTAAAGTAAATTTTTAGAAGATGTTTCTGTTGTCCTATACCAACTGCTGCATCCTTCCTGTGATCTTCAGGAGAAATTAACAGAACAAGGAAAAATACAGAGGGATGTGTGAGGGTCACAGTGTAGCCACCTGCCAAGTACCAGACATTCTCTGTGATCCCCCCCTACCCTCCCAGGGGAGGATAATGGGAACAGGGAGAGAGACTTTTTAACAAAAGGTCTTGAGGATCGAGATTATTCACCACTTATGGTCAGAGGCAAAGAACACAGTAGACTTGGGAAGAAAAATGAATTTATCATCACCAGTTTAACCAAATCATCTAGGTTAGAGTAGTATAGTGAGAGAAATAAATACAACCAGATCTTAAATACACTTCCCCCCCTGCTCCCTTCTTCCTGGCTACCTCCTCCCCCTCGGCACCACAGCGGGCAGGGGAGGGGGTGTGCAGTCTGTCTGTCCATTACACATTGTCCATGCTGCTCCTTCCCCCTTGGGAAGAGGATTCCCTGCAGTCTTCCTCTGCTGCCCTGTGGTGTCTGTCTCATGGAAGTTAGTCTTCCTCCCACCAGCGTGGGTCCCTCCCATGGGCTGCAATGTCCTCTGCTCCAGCCCGGTCCCTCCTTACTGTCACGGTTTGCTTCTGGTGCGTTCTCTGCTCTGACAGTCTCTCTCCCCGGGCGTGGGATCCTCCATGGGCCACATCCTGGCCGTTTCACCACTGTCGATCTCCTTGGTCTGCAGGGTCTCAGCCTGCCATCTAGCTGCAGGCCTCCTCTAGCGCCCTTCTTCCACTCCTCCTTCCTCACCCACCTCAGTTTCTGAATGGTTTCTCTCTCCGCCTCCCCCTTCTCTCCAAAACAAACAACTCAACCCAACACAAAAGATGGCAAAAAAAAGAAAAAAAGCCTGACCCAACAGGTTTCCCCTCTTAAATACAGTGATGGCAGAGGCACGGATGGGCCTGGCCTTGGGGCAGGGGGAGGCTCTGAAAGTTTCCCAAAGAGCCACCGACACAGCACTTCCCATGCTACCAAAAAATCCCTCCAGATACAAACCTGTTAAAGTGCGGGAGGTGTGTTAAGGCTTAAATAAATAGGTTATCTCAAAGAGCTGATCATTAACAAGACAAAGTTCAGAGTTCCATGCTGAGGGGGAAGCAAAGCAACATCATCTTTGTAGCAGATTGACGGGGGGGGGGGAAAGCCTGTGACAGCCTTAGATATTGTAATATCTTCCAATGAAAAAGTAGAGCAATGCAGCACTAAATACCTTTAGCTCCTCTGAATGTATCGATTTTTACTTCTTATTTGGTTGGATGATTCAGAGAAGATCTTCCAATATTTGCTTTACAGAGTTAGGTTGCTCTTACTTCAAAGTTTTACTGTGGCTGAGCATATCCAATTGTAAACAATCGTTGCAGGGCAAATGTTGCTGAGGGATGCGTTTTCTTGGGAAGATGATGTTGTTTACATACCGTGGACAGAAATATGTAAAAGGGCCTCAGGTAGGAATGCAAGTAAGGATATTGACTTTCTGCAAGTGTGGCTGGCACCCTAGAGGGGGCAATTGTTGTATGGGCTTCTCGACAATCAAGGGCTATCAACTGTGTCATCAAGGACCATCACTTGTGGCAGGTAACCTGGAGAAATGCATAGATTAGCAGAGACTAGCAGATGCCAGTTAAGGACTGCAAAAGAAGAGACATGGGCTAAAATATGTAAAGTTCACTAAAAGACACCTCTTCACCAGCCACAAGAGATCACAAGAGGCCACTGAAGACCTCCAGGGAAGGCTTTCAGACATCCAGGCTGCGTGTGTAATAATCATGTATATAGGATAATTAGCTCCTGGAAATAGAATGAATATGTATCATCTTTCTGGGAAAACTGATGCCTATGTATGTAATAGGGGGATATAAGCTTGGATGGCTGCCAGACATGGTATGCATGATAGGTGGAGCTATCCCCCATCCATCCTGTGCTGTAATAAAGAAATGCCTGCTTTCTAATGCTAAACTGAGCGTTAGAGAGCTCTTCATTGACCAGAGTTCTGGTAACACTGTGAAATCATGTGAACCTGGAAGTATCTCAGGAGAGCCATAAGCATCAGCCTGTTGTTTCCTGCCCCACCCTGTCCCTCCATCTGCAACAGCGCTGGCTGCAGCTGCTCGCTTGGGGCCTTGTTGCATTTGATTTATGTTAGATTTCTAACTGCTGAACGGAATTCCTAGTGGATGAAGTCCAGAGAGGTGTGTGGGGCCAGAAGTCTGAAGTTTTGGTTTTAAAAGTAATAAACTTCTTTGTAACAAAGTCCCCATGTGTTGCCTGATCTAGTCGAGAGGTGGCATCCCTGGCGACAGGGAGCTGGATTAAAACGATCTCTAGGGTCCGATCCAGCCTAGGCCATTCTGTGATTCTATGAAATACCCACAGTCACTGGTTCATCAATGTGACAAGAGTCAGAGGTGATAGAGTGCTTCGCTGCAGGGGATGTCCCTGAGCCCCTCATCTACACCTCTTTGGAATACCCCAAGGGACGGTGACTCCGCCATTTCCTCAGGCAGCCTGTTCCAGTGCTTAGCAGCCCCTTCAGTGAAGAAGTTTTTCCTAATATCCAACCTAAACCTCCCCTGGGGCAACTTGAGGCCATTTCCTCTTGTTCTATGCTTGTTCCATGGGAGAGCAGACCAACACCCACCTTGCTACAACCTCCTCTCAGTCGCTGTAGAGAGCAAGAAGGTCTCCCCTCAACCTCTTTTTCACCAGGAAATGCATCTGTTCTCAGCTTGTCTGCTGCTGAGTCTCTCTGCCGGAGTGCTGTGTCCAGCTCTTTGACACAAAAAGGACATGGACCTGTTGGAGTGGGGTCCAGAGGAGGCTACAAAAATGATCAGAGGGCTGGAGC